AATAATTTTTAATGGCTTTATGAGAGGTTAAATTCTAAAAAAGTAGCCAATGTTCATGAAACTGATGCATTTACTATGTTAGCAAATCAAGTTGTTGTAATTTCAAGGAAGTTAGACCAATTTGGAATGAATTTTTCTCAACCAATTTCCATGATTGAAGAGAATTCATTAGGTCAAATGATATATTCTCAAGCATCATTAGAAACTTTGAATGTCATAAATAATAAGCAAAATAACCCATATTCCAATTATTATAATCCAGGTTGAAAGAATCATCCCAACTTTAATTAGGAATAACAATTCGGGTGATAATAATCAGCAAAGGGGGAACAACCAAGGAAGCCCATTGGGAAACTAGAACAACCAAGGGAATAATAATTATAGATCTACTTATCCTCCAAGTTTCAACAGTAATACACAGTTTAAGGATAAGAAGTTGTCTATAGAAGAAGTGGTGTTACAAATGGGTAATCGGTTACAAAGTCAATGAGCTACAATTAGAAATATTGAGAATCAACTTGGGCAAATCGCAAGTTCATTAAGTAATAAATCCCAAGGAACACTTCCTAGTAATACTGAATCAAATCCAAAAGACCAGAATAAAGAGCAAGTTAAAGTTGTAGAACTTAGAAGCGAAAGAGAGTTGGAAGGTAGGGTTTAAAAAGAGATTGAAGTAGAGAGAGAAGAAATTGAAGAATCAAAAGAGGACGCTCCGAAAGATTTTGAAAGACCTATTTCTCCGCCAAAAATTGATTTGGAAAAATCACCACCTCCATTTCCTCAGAGACTTTAACAACACCAGTTGGATAAGCAATTTTCAAAATTTCTGGAAATATTTAAGAAGTTTACAATCAATATTTCATTTGTTGAAGTCTTAGAACAAATGTCAAGCTATGAAAAGTTTATGAAGGATATTCTCAACAGAAAAAGGAAGTTTGAAGATAATGAGACTATTGCACTTAGTGAGGAGTGCAGTGCTATAATTCAGAAGAAACTTCCTGAAAAGCTTAAAGATCCTAGTAACTTTACAATTCCATGTGCAATAGGAGACAGATTTTTTGGGAAAGCTTTATGTGATTTAGGTGCAAGCATTAACCTTATATCATTATCAATATTTAAAAGATTGGGATTAGGAGAAATAACTCCTACAACTGTAACTCTGCAGTTAGAAAATTTTCAATAACCTATCCTAAAGGAGTTATAGAAGATGTCCTAGTGAAAGTGGATTAATTTATATTTCCTGTTGATTTCATTGTGCTAGATATGGAGGAAGATAAAGAGATACCAATGATTTTGGGGAAACCTTTCCTAGCAATAGGAGGAACAATGATAGATGTGCAGAAAGGGAAATTAACAGTGCACATGAATGATCAAACTATTACTTTTAACATTTTAAAATCAATGAAATACCCTGCAAAAGGTAAAGATGATGAATGTTATAGAATGGATGTTATAAGATATCTGTGAATGTCATTTCAAGACTACTTATGAAGAAAAATTTGAAGAAAAAGATTTGGAACACAGCAAAAAGACGAATTAAATCAATGTGTAAACCTTTTTAAGGAAGATTCAAGTTATGTTCAAGAAAGTTTTGAAATTTTGAACACGATAGATAAAGATAAATCATTTTGTCCATCTATTGAAAAACCTTCAGAACTTGAGTTGAAATTACTTCCTAAATATTTAAAATATGCCTTTTTAGGATATTCCTCTACTTTACCTGTTATAAATTCCTCGAAGTTAACAAAGGAAGAAGAAGAAAAGTTGATGAAAATTTTGAAAAATTTTAAGAAAGCCTTCGGATGGACAATTGCTGATATTAAAGGAATCAGTCCTTCAATTTGTATGCATAGAATTAATCTGGAAGAAAATTGTAAACCCAGGGCTGTGCCACAAAGGAGATTAAATCCTGTTATGAAAGAGTTTGTTAAGAAAGAAATTTTAAAGTGGTTAGATGCTGGAATTATCTACCATATTTCAGATAGTGCATGGGTTAGTCCAATTCACTGTGTTTCTAAGAAAGGAGGAGTAACTGTAACTGTAAATGAGCAAAATGAGTTAATACCTATTAGACAAGTTACATGGTGGCGAATATGCATTGATTATAGAAAATTAAATCTTGTCACTATGAAAGATCATTTTCCACTACTATTTCTAGATCAAATGTTGGATAGAGTAGCTGGGCACAAATACTTTTATTTTCTTGATGGATATACCGGTCATCACCAAATTCAAATATCTCCTGAGGATCAAGAGAAAACAACGTTTAACAATCCTTATGGTACTTTTGCTTTTAGAAGAATGCCCTTTGGTTTATATAATGCCCCTGCTACATTTCAAAGATGTATGATGGCAATTTTTTGTGATTTAATTGAAAAAGGGATTGAAGTCTTTATGAATGACTTTTCAGTGTTTGAAACTTCATTTGACTCATGTTTAGAACATTTATCTAAAGTTCTTAAGCGCTGTGAAGAAACAAATTTAGTCCTTAACTGGGAAAAATGCCAATTTATGGTAGCATGGGGAATTGTATTAGGTCATCAAATATCAAAAAATGGTATGGAAGTAGATCCTGCTAAAATTCAAGTGGTTGTTAATTTACCTTATCCAACAAATGTAAGAAAAATTAGGAGTTTTTTAGGACATGTTGGATTCTATAGGCGATATATTAAGAATTTCTCTAATATTGCTAAGCCTTTATGTCATTTACTGGAGAAAGATGCAATTTTCAATTTTGATGAGGAATGCCTAAAAGCTTTTAAATTATTAAAAGAAAAATTAATCACTACACAAATTATAGTTTCACCAAATTGGGAAAAAACTTTTGAACTTATGTGTGATGTAAGTGATTATGTTATTGGAGTTATTTTAGAACAAAGATATGATAAAATTTTCAAAGCTATTTACTATGCTAGTAAAACTTTCAATGAAACTCAAATTAATTATACAACAACTGAAAAAAGAGTTATTAACAATAGTATATGCCTTTGATAAATTTAGATCATATTTGATTGGAACGCATTGTATAGTGCATGCAGATCATTCTGCTATTAAGTACTTGATGAAAAAGAAGGATAATAAACCGAGACTTATAAAATGGATTCTTCTTTTATAAGAATTTGATTTTAAAATAGTAGATCGGAAGGGAACTAAAAATTAAATTGTTGATCATTTGTCTAGGTTTGGATTAGAAAAATCACTCTGTTTTGAAAAAAAAATTAATGAACATTTTTCAGATGAAAAATTGTTCACTATAAATGAGTGGCGTGTTCCGTGGTATGCTACATTGTGAACTATATTGTTAGTGATCTTAAACCCTATGGAATGATATACCAACAAATGAGGAAATTTATTTCAGAAGCTAAGACTTATTTTTGGGATGACCCATATTTATATAAACAAGGAAAGGATCTGATCATTCGAAGATGTGTACCATTAGAAGAAACTTATGAAATTATCCAAAAATGTCATAATTTTGATTTTGGGGGACATTTTTGTGGTGATAAAATAGTATACAAAATTCTATAATCTGGATTTTATTGGCCTACAATTTTTAGAAATGTTAATGTTTATATCAAAACTTATGATAGATGTCAAAGAGTAGGCAATATTTTTAGAAGAAATAAGATGTCCCTCAATTATATGCTAGAAGTTGAAATATTTAATGTTTGGGGATTAGATTTCATGGGACCATTTATATCATCTTTCGGAAATTTATATATTCTGTTAGCAGTGAACTATGTATCCAAATGGATAGAATCTGTTGTTTTACCTCTATGTGATGCTCAAAGTGTTGCAAAATTTTTGAAAATGAACATATTTTGTAGATTTGGGATGTTGATAGTTATCATTACTGATGGGGGAAGTCATTTCAGAAATGTCATTATAGAGAAGTTATTAAAGAAATATCATATAAATCATATGATTGCTACTGCTTATCATCCTCAGACAAGTGGTTTGACTGAATTATCCAATCGGAAATTTAAAAGAATTATGAAAAAATCTATGAATCCAACAAAAATGGATTGGTCAGTCAAACTTGACTATGTTTTGTGGGCTTATAGGACTGCATATAGAACTCCTATAAGAATGTCCCCATATAGGCTAATATTTGGGAAGCTTTTCACTTACCAGTTGAACATGAGCATAAAGCATATTGGGCTATTAAAGAGTTCAATTATAATTTAAAAGATACTGGTGAGAAATGATTGTTACAATTAAATGAGCTTGAAAAGATAAGGAATGAATCTTATGAGAGTGCTAAGATTTATAAAGAAAAGATGAAAATGTGGCATGATCAAAAGATTCTTACTAAAAATTTTCAGTCAGGGCAATAAGTTTTGTTATATAATGCAAGGTTAAGATTATTTCCAGGCAAACTTAAGTCCAAGTGGATGGGCCCATTTGTTGTGATAAAAGTTTATCCTTATGGAGTTGTGGATATTAAAAATCCTAATTTTGAGAAAATTTTTAAAGTGAATGGACATAGACTGAAACTTTATTATATAGGGGATCATCATAAATATAATGATGGAATGATGTTGGGGCAACCAGAATGAGCACTAGTTACGTCGGGCTGACGAAGTAAAACCAAGCGCTTTGTGGAATGCAACCTATAATTATTAGAGTGTTTTTATTTTGATTATTGTTTTATGTGTGATTAAGAAAATTGGGGTTGTGTTTTTTAGACTATTATGTGTTAGTGCTAGTTTTAAGATTTTATTTAGTGACTTAGACATGTTAGAATAAGAATTTGGATGTTAAGTTGACTGGTGCAAAAATGTGCACTGGCGCTTAAGCGCGGCAGTTTTAGCACGTGTGCAAAATTTAGATTCTAGAAGGGAATACCGCCAATTTGTTTGCAAAAACGTGCCAAGGAAGCTCCTAGACATGCGTAAGAGTTATTGGAAGGATTTAGGCCTATGAATAGAAGGGCCTATGAAGGAATTTCACCCCAGATCATTTCTAGCCCTAAAGTCTAAGAGAGAGAGATTTTGAGATGATGTCTTCATGTGAGATGGATTTGAATAAGAAAGAAGAGACCATGAAGTTCATTAGTCAAAGTGCACAGGAGATGTATAACGGTTTCTTAGCCGTTAGTATTAAAGGGATATCGGAGAAGATCAACCAGATGGAGAATACTATATCTATATTAGAGACTAAGGTGCTTGAATTGCATGCTCGTCTAGAACATATTGGGTGGCAACTTAAGATGCAATTCAGCCATAACAGTTATGTAGAGGAAGCGGATAAGGCGATGCTCCTTAAGCGAAAGTGGATCGAAGATGATAGTATTAGAGCTCGTCACCACCGTCCGTTTTATCAACTCTATATTCCTGGAGAGACTACTGAGAGACAAGAATTTGTTCCTTCTAATGAAGAGTGACATTAAGTTAAGTGTTAGGAATTGTGTGTTGGGTGTCAGTTTTTAAGTGTGTTAGTGTTTATGTCTTGTGTTTAGTGTTTGTGTCACTTAGGTGTGTAATTGTAAAATGTGTGTTAAGTGTTTTGTACTTAGGAAATTTTCTTATCCAAGACTATTTGGAGAGAGGAACTAAGTGTTAAATGTGTTTGTACTTGTTTGTGAATTAATATAAGTTTGTTTTTGTGAAAATTTATGTTATTTTTAGTCTCGAATTGAATTAATTATTATGAAGAAGTTTGAGAGAGGAGGGAGTTATAGGAAGTAAAAATAGTCATTTAAGTGATATGAGACCATTTAGGGGTAGTTTACTTAGGCTAATAGTGTATTTTACTTAGAATTAAAAATTTGAAAAATTGTGCACTGGCGCCTAAGCGCCACATCTCGCGCTTAAGTGAGAGCCAACCCGAGAGGCAGGCCCCTATCCCGCCGCTCAAGTGGGCGCCAACCCGAGAGGCAGGCGCCTAAGCGCCACTTACCCGCGTTTAAGCGCTGGTTCACGAAAACTGATTCGCAAATGGTTAAAAGTGAATTTTTGATCCGAAAATATCACTTTTAACGCCTCTTATCGTCTTCCCCAACTCGAGTTCGCGATTTTGAGGGCTAGGGCAAGAGAAATTTGGAGATTTCTTAGTGGAATCAAGTGAGATTTGCTAGATCCAAGTTTCTTGAGGTAAGAGCTTTACTTCTATGCAAAAATTTTGGATTTCCACCATATATTTTAAGCACATTTGGAAGATTTCAAAAGTTTACTATTCATGGTGAAAAGTGAAGAAAAATCTATGGAAATTGCTTGGGAAGTTTAGTTAGTGCTTTTGGAAGTTTAGTTTAGTGATTTAAACTTGATTTTTAAAGTTATTTTTGGAATTTATCAAATTTGTAGAATGACACCAAGCATGAAAGGAGCAAAGGAAAGAGCCCATTTGATTCGAGCAAATTTGTCAGTTCAAAAGCTCAGGATCGATATAGTGACGCTCTACAGGAGCGATGTTTTAAGATTCAAGGTGGAGAAGTGGAATAAGTGGAACCCCTGATAGTCCGCCGACAGTGGGAACAGTTCTGTTGTTTCTCTGCTGTCGCGGTAATTTCTATTGTAAGGGAGTTTTATGCAAATATCTCAGAGGCTGAGGATGATCGAGTTATGGTTCGAGGGAAGTTGATACATTTTACTCCAAAGGTAATCAACTTGTTTTACCATTTACCACTGGATACTTTATGTTTTTATGCAAATTATAGTCCTACTGAAGCGGAGTTAGACGAGATTATTTCATACTTGACTATTGGGAGAGGACTTTGGAAGATTACCAATGAGAGGAGAGTAAATTTCCTAACTTCAAAGTTATGTGCACCTACAAAGGCCTGACACTATTTCATTTCTGCTCGTCTGCTTCCGACCAATCATCTCAGTGAAGTGACTAGAGAGAGAGCGGCGTTGAATTATTGTACTCAGGAGGGAAATCCCATCAACATAGGGGCTTTGATCTATCACACTATCATCAGTTCAGCTACTACTGCTACTACTGCAGGTATGGGATTTGCTTCCTTGATATTTTCTTTATGCTAGCACGCTGGAGTAAAGTATGATAGTTGGGAGGAAGTTCTATTACCTCTAAAGCCCATCACGAAGGTGAATGTGAAAACTTATTTGGAGCATTCAATTTTTGCTGGAGAGGAGGATTTTCCAGGAGCTATGGACTAGAGACGTTTGTTGCATCTTCATCTAGATCATCTACTTCACGTGCTTCTACATCTAGAGGTGATTTTACTAAGACTCGAGATGAGTTATTGCAGAAGATGATGGATAATATCAATTTTACCGCTGATAAGGTACAAAATTTAGAGCGTTTTGCAAATCATACTAATAGTTATAATAGAAGGAAAAGTGATTATGAAAAGAAATTCCACTCATCTTTGGAGAGTCTGATTAGAGGTGAACCAGGAGTGCAATTTCCTCCATATCTTCGATATCCTGATTATGAGCCTGTAGAAAAATGGTACCGATCTTTATGTTTTATTATTATTATGACGTTTGTGGTAGTTAATATTTTATTTTTAAATTTTAGGGTAGTAACTGTTGTTTTGTGTTTAGTTTATGATTTAGTTAGGTTTAGAACTTAACTTAATTTCTTATCGAGATTTAGTTAGTTTATAACTTAACTTAATTTCATATATGTTATAAAGTAGAAAATCTTGCTAGCTTAGATCTTAAACTTGAAATTCAGAAACTGCTATCCTGTATTTTTCTTCTATCATGTTAGCATGTTGTTTGCTTTTATAACTACTATTTAGAAGTCTATTTGAATCTCTACATGTTAAAGTAAAATGAAAATATAGAAAATTTGATCAAAAAAATTAATTTTACTTCTGTTTTTAGTTATACCTGTATCATTAGGGTTTAAAATTCCTGTTAGCATTTATTTTTAAATTTTCATTCATGCTTATATATATCTAATGATAAACTGTTTAATCTGTTAAAATTTTAAGTTTTGGAGGATGAAAAATATTTTAAAAACTGGAATTTTATTTGTTCTCAAATGTACTACAAGTGAATTTGATTTTAAAGGAAAAATTGATTATGTATATGAAGTTATATTAGGGAAGTAAATTTTGATTTTGGAATTGAGTAAGAAAATTTAGTTAAAATTTTAAGTAATGAAGAAAAGCTTTAAGTTAAAAATTTGTAGTATGGAAAATGATTAATATAAGTGACTATCTTTAGTAAGAAAAATTGTATCTTTGAAAAATTTAGATAATTTAGAATTTTATTTTTAATGCTTAAATTTCTTTATTAAAATGATTTTCAAACTATTATTATATTTATAAGTAAAAATTTTATATCAAGACTTTACTTTAGGAAAGGAAAAGTGGAATTCACAATCATTAAAGGCCTATTCAGATATAGTAATCATTGCCTGAAAAAGAAGAAAAAAAAAAAGAAAAAGAAAAGAAAAGGAGAAGAAAAGAAAAAGAAAAGAAATGTAAGGGAGGAGAAGCTTGAGGATTAGTGTCTAATCAAAAATTGGTTCTACATTTGATCTTTTTAAAGTATAAGACTTGATAAAATCTTAAGCTTATAAGTATAATATAGTAAGTAAAATTATTTTTAATAAAAATTTTTAAGTTGAGAAAATAAAAGAACTAAAATCTAAATTTAGAAAACTTACAATATTTCTGAATTAGATAAGAACTCATATTTTCATAGTTCTTAACATTAAAAATTTTCAAACTTTAAGTT